CCGGACGTGACCGGGCTGGGGACGCGTCGCCAGCGTCCGACGACGGGGCACTGCTCGGAGAGGGCCGTCCGTCACAGAGTGGGTGACGGATGCCGCTGCTTTGATAGCGGCTCATACCGACGGGGTGTCACGCTCAGCGGGAGTTGTTTGGTGGCGATGTGTTGAGCCACGGACTTCGCATCTTAGAAATCCGGACTTTCATCTAGATGGTGTTTATCTATTAGCCATAATTCGATAAGAACTTGTAATTTACGATAGCGTGAAAACAAAGGCTTGGAGACAAACTTCCAGGGAATGCCCTGGGGCTCAACGAAATTCAGTTCAGGTAACTGGAGAACACAAATAACACCGCATTGGTATTTTAGGACTATTGTAGTTCCAAACATTCAGAGTTCAGTGAAATACGTCTGAAGAAGATAAGAATACGCATTACGCAATGGGTAACGAATAGCACTGAAAGCCATTCCGTATTAGGAGCTGTTTTGAACGTTTTTCAAATAAGGATACCGTCATAAAAACTTTGCCGATGTCTCTGTTGAACTTCGGCGTACGTTTTGCAAATAAGAAAATAAGTTAAATGGAATGAAATGATAACATAATTTAGCTTCAAGAACTGACCACGAGCTGGAATAAAACAGACTCTCTCTAGGTCTTTATCAAACACCTCGCATGTCCAGTCACTCTATGCTAAAGCAAACAGACAAGGATTCATGCGACTATCTATGTACATTTGGCTAGTCTACCTGTGCGATATGAGCATTTCACCCACGGCACAAAGTCACTATCAGCATAAAGTGATATCGCGGATACCAGCCTCATAACAAAATGATTCCAAAGAGATCAGTCTCGTCATTAAATAACTAATACTGCGGATAAAACCATTTCAACCGGTTTATTTACATTGCATTGCATCAATGATTCCGCGAATGTTGGCAATTTTCACGCCATCCAGGTTGTGTTTCATATCGCTCGCTCGTATTGCCGCTCCATTTAATCGATGCTCGCCGATTACCGCACCTGTCAACACACAGCCTCGCTGTTCGATCGTCTGTCATATTCTGCCACCGGTGGCCGGCTCCGATAAACACCATCACTGTTTGACGGAAGAGGAACCCTCCGACTCCTCCCCCTGCTCTCGCCGGCGCCGCTGTTTACTCCAGCGCACGCCGTCCTCCGATCAATCAGCCGGCCGGTGCGCAGGTGCGGCGATTCGGCGCCGGCAGCCGGCCCGGCTCGCACCTTGGCTCGTCGAGTGGCCGTCAGCCGGTGTCGGGCCGGTGTCGGGCCGCTCTCACACCCACCCGGATGTGAGGCCGACGCGATGGGAGCCGGCACCACGGGCGGTCCGTCACGCGCGCGTCCGCACGACCGGGCGTGGCCATTCCCACGGGCACAATGTCCACGGCCCAGGCGCTCATTGAGGCAGGCACGGGAGGCACTGAACGGGCGCGGAGGGAGTAATTCTACAGCCGGCGGGAAGGGGACGCGACACGATAGCTATCCTTCAACATCAGGCATATCTCTCCCAGATAATCAACGGCAAGAACTCCAGCAAAAACCGACCGCCGCGCCGTCCAATCAGTGCGGAGCGGGCCACAACTGTCACTCACAGCCGGAATGGTTCCGTGTCTGCAAACAACACACCCGACCGGCCAAGAGCCGATGATTAACCGCCCCCGGCTGCGGCGCGCGGCGGCTTACACCCGGCCGCCAAGTTCACCGCCTCCTGCCAGCGGCCGCCAGCCGCAGCGACAGCTCTATTGGCTCCCGAAATATTTATGTGCGCCGCGGGCGCCATATTCGTCCGGCAGCCCTTTATTCGCGGCGAGCAGATGCGCAGTCGTGTCCACAGCAAAACCCCCGCCCATATCCGTCCCTCCCACTGTGCGACTGACACCGGGCTCTCGGTCAAGGTCACCGCACAACGCAGCGGCGCATGGGAGTGACGACGACGCACGAGTGTTTCTGCTAGCTTCTCGGGAGAGCGTCGAACATGGTTTACTCTCAGCCAGTTCCAGACGGACTCCCCCCGGCGGGATGAGCGAATGCCGCTCGCCGCCCCGACAAGGGTCGTCGGTGTTATCATTGGCGCTCTAGAAGGCTCGCAGCTTGTCCTTGATGTAGAGCCGAGAGCTCTCCGATGCTGAGCGGCTCATCGGCAGTGACACGGCGTAAAAACACCGACACCGACACCTCTCGCCGACACCCCCGGCAGTCGACACGACTACTTCGGGACCTGGAATAAGGACGGGGAAGAGGCAGGAACAGATAACGATACGGAGGCGTATCTTTTTTACCGACGGAGTCCTACTAACGACGGATTTGTCCGACTCCAAACGCAGCCGAGAGATCTGGCTTCCTTTCCGTCTCTTCTCGGCTGCTTGCTTTTTCGTCGGTCGGTTCAGATCTGTCGTCAGCGAGGAGATAAATGAGGGTTAATAATTAATCGTGTCCCTGGCCGCCGCGCCGAACTAGGAGGCTTAGAAAAAGAAACCCGGTAGGAATCGTGAATGAGGAACAGCAAGAAGCTGATAAAACGGGATGAACATGAGTGGCCTGCTCTGTGGAATTAAGCACCAGCAAAAGTACCTCAACTCGAGCGGGCCTGGCCAGCGGCACGCTTTGGACAGTCGACCGACCGTGTGCTGCAAGGGTCGGAAAAGTTTGTCCCCTGCCACCGCTCCAGGTCACTGACGGAATGGATGAGCCAGGAAAGTGGCTGAACGCTTCAGGGCCACATAGGCAGCATGGCGCGAGTGGCCCAGCATTGCAGCTCGATCGCTCACGAAGGCAGCTGGGCAGATCGATATTGTAGCTCAGTGGTGCAGAACGGCTGGGCAGGTCGATATTGTAGCTCAGTGGTGCAGAACAGCTGGACAGATCGATATTGTAGCTCAGTGGTGCAGAACGGCTGGGCAGGTCGATATTGTAGCTCAGTAGTGCGGAATGGCTGGGTAACTCGATATGACCGCTCGGCAAATGGTCAGACCGTGTCGGAGGAAGGCGAGAGCCTTCCCTCCATCCCCCCCCCCGCCCCTCCACCACCGTGGTCAATCATGCGCGATTCCCAGCCACTGAGGAATGCAGAAGGCACGTCATGTCCGAGGAGGCACGGCGACTGCACGCTCCGATAACGACGCTGAGATGGCCGAGAACGTCTGCGTCGATGAAGCGAGCTCTCCCGATGTATCTTGTGTTCGCTGCCACTTCCCCACGACAGCGGTGGAGCGGGTGGGGCCGGAGAGGGGGGGGTCTGGGACGGTGGAGACCGTCCAATGTTTGTAGGGGACCGACCCGTTCCAAACAATCACTGCTGGTGTCCGACTGTTTGGTGTGAGGTGGTCACGCTTACGTAACCACGTCGCTTCTGAAGGACATGCCGCCCAGCGGCAAAGGATGACAAGCTAGAGAGAGAGAGAGCAAAATGGATTTGCTGTAAATCGTCAAAAAATATTAATATAAATGGTCAAGCGAATATTTGACAGTTTCTGGAATAGTACGGCGCATGGTCTCAAAGGACAAGGTGCTGAAACGCACTTGCCAGCTTTATAGGATTTGAAGTTATTCACAATTCCAACAAATCAAATTTGAATCTGACCTATCGGACTTCAATAGCATTTCAATTGAATTTGATCTGACAAAGCGAATCTACTGCAGCCCACTTTCAAAGAGGACCTTTAACATTAGGCTATTCAAACGCATTGCCCAGCGTCACCAATTCGGTACCCTGAAGACTCAATAGTCGAGAGGCCCACCGCGGCCATTATCAGCCCACCAGTCCATCATAGGCCCACGCAGCCGGGCCTCCCTCGCCGGTAGTAGGCTGGTGATGTTCCGGTTTTAACCGGACCCTGGCCAGCCGCGCGTCGGACCGCCACGACGGCGACCCGAGCCCGGAACGCCCAGCCGCCGCCGACAGAAAACTCGGCCCGCAGCCTATCTTTACGATCATCGGCCGATCCAAACGGACGGGACGGGAGACAATGAGTTAGACTATGATCAATATTTCACGCCGTGATTGGTTCTGGGAAATCTGTCAAACTGGTGTCTGCCGGTGGTTCAGACGGCGTGGGAGGTGAGACGACACGACAGACTAGTCTGGACCAGACTGGAGAGAGAGAGGAGACCGGACTAAATATACCTACCTGACTAGACCCAACCGGAAACGACCGAATGCAGCGTGGAACGAGCTACCTTGCAGTATCAGACGTTCGCCTACTTATGCAGTATTTAAGAGGAGGATATATGCTGATGAACACACGTCGCTGTCTTGTTTTACCTGAGCTCTTTTAGTAAGTGTTACAAGTGATATGTGTGTATGCATTTTATTGTGTATTTGCTTTGTCATGAGCCATTTTATCGCTTCTATGTGCCTATATTACCATTGTATGACGTGGATAACTGAAAACCCATCTTGTGGATGTAATCCGAAATATATGAGTATGAGTATGAGTATGAGTCCTTACAAACTAGAAATCGCCTAGCACCATCCATCCAAAGCAGACCTCACCTGACCGACTCGATTTTAAACACCAGATTGACCATAATCCCCTTCGTATGGTTCGGCAAATCCACAGCTAACAGGTCCGACCACCTCCGCTGGGCCGGCCCGGCTGATGACACAGCTCATTACCGGAGAGGGTAGCTGACCTCAAACGACCTCACCGACCCCGTCTGCTTCCGTCGACAGAGTGGACGGAACGGGTCACTGCGCCGGGAGTGGGAACAAACGGCCGCTGGCGGACAGCGTCAAATACAGTAGTTTCCGATGGAGGCAGGCGCTGAGTTCCCAGTGTGTAGAATATGGACGCTTCCCCACGCCAAATTACAAGGCATCGCGTTAGAGGTGGAATGCACAGAGATACCCAGGGCCAGATTACATCTGGAGCATACAGTCGTACTCAGATTACAGCTAAACCATCTAGCGATACTGCGACGAGAGCTAGACCCCCGCGGCACTCAGCAGTCAGTTGTGGGTCGGGCCAGCCGGCGGTACTCACGTGAGGGCTGGGCGGGCTCGGCGCTGGGCACGGCCGGCAGCTCGGAGGCGGCAGGTCCCAGGTCCAGCAGCTCCTTGTCCAGCTCTTCCTGTTCCAGCTCCTCCAGCTCCCGTTCCAGCTCATCCTGCAATGGCACAGGTCAAAGGTCAGTGAATACTGGATTCTAGCTCAGTACAAGCTTTATTTTAACCCATTGCACGCTGCGTCCCGTATTTTAACAAATACGACATTGCTCCATTTTATATCAAGCACCGTCAGGCGAACAACAATCATACGTTCCACCTAATTCAAGAGCCCTTCAAATACCATATGTGATTGTTAATTTAGACCTGCGTTCCCAAAACCAAATGCGTAAGCCATGCTCCTACGAGTCTATTAAATCCAAGGATCTAGCGTGAAGAGCATATCTCGGAGTTGGATTAAAACTCGGACCGAAATATCTGCAGCAAGAAATATCGTCAGCCCTTTTCCCGGAAAACTGAAACGATTTGAATGAAAATGCATTTAGTGCGTTGTTTTCGTCAAAGTTCTAAAGACTTGAGAAGCGTTTCGGCGGTCGGCGCCATTCCCGATGTTTGCTGTTCGCCCTGTTCTCTCTGTCCGCCGCGTGTCCGCGCCCGCTGCCGCCCGGCGCGGGGAGGGGCACGCGATATGGGCCGAAGGTCCACCGCGCGGCCAACGCGCGGGTCCCGGTCTAATTACTGGATTGGAGGATGCGCCGCGGGGCGGCGTCCACCCAGCTGCGCGCCCCCATCCCTGGTGGGGGAGGGGGAGGGCGCGGTGACAGGGCGGGCGCTTGGCCGGCTCGAGTGGCGCGGCGGCACACACAGGGGCGCTCGCCACCCCCCTCCCTCGTCACTCGCAGGGGGGGGGGGGGGGTAGGCGCGAACGGCTCGGCCATCTGCGGGCAGTGTGCGACGGTTCGCACGTGTCGCGGCGGTGCGGGGACCGGCACTGGATCGACGAGGAGGGCGTAACGCGCTGCCTTTTTCGGCGGGCTGCGTGCCAGCAATTCTTTCGTTTCACAACCGGGCCGCGGGCCGCGGCGGGTGTGAGCTCCGGATGTGTGGACGCGCCAGAGCGACCCGTCCGACTATCTGTATCTGCCGGCGACCTATACGGTCATCTGACCGGTGCGGGCGTTGGGGCTGTGCAAGCTCTGGGGAGCTTATTGCCCTTGGGGGCAGACCGTGTGGGTGCTACTGTCGGGAGCCTGGGGGAGAATGACGGGGGCTTGCGAGCTCTTGGAAGATCATAGTTGACGGTGCGAGAGCAGGCTGCATGTGCGCTACTGTCCAGAGCTCTTGGGAGCATGACGGGTGGCCGTGCGAGCTCTTGGGAGATCATAGTTGGCGGTGCGAGCTCTTGGGAGCTTATAGCCCTTGGGGCACACCGTTAGTGACTCTACTGTCGAGAGCTCTGGGGGCATGTCAGGTGGCTGTGCGAGCTTTGGGTGCTCTTGCCCTGGGACATACCGTTTTGGGCGCTGATGTCGAGAGCTCCTGGGAACCTGACGAAGGGAGCTGCGCGAGCTATTGGGTACTACTGCCCTTGGTGCAGACCGCCAAGGCCACTGTTGTCGAGAGTTCTCGGGAGCCTGACCGGTGGCCGGGCGAGCTATTTGGAGCTTCTTGCCCTGGGGGCTAGCAGCTACGATAGTTTTCTGTCGCGACCTCCAGGAAGCATGACGGGTTACTGTGCGAGCTCTCGGGAGCTCATTGCCCTTGGGGGCAGACCGCTATGGGTGCTACTGTAGAGAGCTATTGGGAGCCTGAAGGATGGCTGCGCGAGCTCGCGAGAACTTCTTGCCCTTGGGGGCAGACCGCTATGGGTGCCAATGTCTAGAGCTCGTTGGAGCCGGACGGGTGGCTGCGCAAACTCTTCAGAGCTATTGCTCTTGGGGGCAGACCGCATAGGCGCTACTGTTGGAAGCTTTAGGAGCACAAGCGACTGCTCGAGCCGGCGGGAGCCTATTGTCCTTGGGAGCAGACGGATACGGGTGTTACTGTCGCGAGCTCTTGGGAGCCGACGGATGGCCGTGCGAGCTCTTGGGAGCTTATTGCCCTCGGGGGAAGCCTCTATGGGGTTCGTGTCGAGAGCTCCTGGGAGCTTACAGTTGGCTGTGCGAGCTCTTAGGAGCCTCTTGCCGTTGGGGGCAGACCGCTAAGAGTGTTCACAGCGGGAGCTCTATTGAGCATGACGGGTAACCGTGCGAGCTCTCGGGAGCTTATTGCTCTAAGGTTGCTGACGAGAGCTCTTGGGAGCTTACAGTTGGCTATGCGAGCTCCGAGCTCTTGAGAGCATCTTGCCCTGGGGGCAGACCGCTACGTATGTTTCATGCCACGAGCTCTAGGGAGCGCAAGAGAGCATCACGGATGGCTGCGATTTGCGAGAGCTCTTAGGAGCTTAAAGTTGGCTAAACAAGCTCTCGGGAGCTTCCTGCCTTTAAGGACAGGCCGCTTCGGGTGTTTCCCCTGCGCGAGCTCTAGGGAACATGACGGGTGGCCGTGGCAGCTCTCGGGAGCTCTCCACTTGACTGCGCGAGCTCTTGGGAGCTTAATGCCCTCGGGGCAGACCGCTACGGGCGTTTCCTGGCGCAGCTCAAGGGAGTATGATAGGTGGCCGTGGGGGCTCAATTGGGAACTTGCAGTTGGCTGGTTAAGCTTTTGGGAGTTCCTTGCCCCGGGGGCAGACTGCTACGGGGGTTTTCCTGTCGCGAGCTCAAGGGAGCATGGCGAGTGGCTGTAAGCTCTTGGGAGCTTACAGTGGACTGGACCAGCTCTCGGGTTCCTGCCCTTGGGGGCAGACCGCTCCGGATGGTTCCGGACCCGATCTCTAGGGAACACTACGAGTGGCTGTGGAAGCTCTTAGGAGCTTACAATAAGCTACGTGGCCTATTGCGTGGTCGCTCCGTTTGGCGGGGTTTGGCGGGTGGTTCCAGGAGCAGGAACTGCCACCAGTGGGCGATCGGCCTTTACTCAGCCAACAGAGTGTCTAGATCACGGAGGCGTCAGGCATGAGCCCAATGGCAACTTAGCGGCCCCCCGGCTAAGAGGCGTTGGGCGAGGGCAGACAGATGCCGGAGAGAGCGAGGGAGAGGGAGGGAGGGTGGGAGCGAGAGAGATAAGCGGAGCGGGCGGGCTGGGGCGGGAGGCACGAGGGGAGCGCGGGATATAGGACAGTCAGAGACGAGCCAGCGAAGGGGACGGACCATCGGTCATGGTCTCAACAATTTTTTTTTGTTCTTCTTTGTTTTTTTTCCTGTCGTGACCCCACTGTGGCGGGTGGTTCCAGGAGCAGGAACTGCCACCAGTGGGCGATCGGCCTTTACTCAGCCAACAGAGTGTCTAGATCACGGAGGCGTCAGGCATGAGCCCAAATGGACGCCACTTCCAGTTCCACCCTAATGGACGCCACCCATTTCCCGGGATCGGGGCCACCAATCGCATGCCACAGGTGGCAATACGGGATACCCCGGCAAATGAAGGTAAATGGTCACTGGCCAGCGGTCTGGGCTAACTGCTGCGGACCACTACGGACCACCGCGGACTTCTATAGACCAACGCAGACCACCGCGGATTTCTACAGAACAGCGCAGACAACTGTGAATTTCTAAGACCACGGTAGACCCTTGCGAACTCCTACAAACTACTGCAGACCACTGCGGATTTCTACAGACCACGGTAGACCCCTGCACATTTCTAGAGACCACCATAGACCAACGCCGACCGCCGGCGAGGACCCCACTCCTGGAAATGTTCGACTTCCTGCGCCCATTTCGAGCGGCCCTGCAGCGAGAAGTTTTTACCGTGCGACTCTGGGCCGACAGCGGCGCAGCAGACGGTTATGAGAGGAATTCCGCCGACTCAGCCGCCCACCCACCCCCGTACGCTCCGTCCCGTACTCTGCTCGCGTAGACGGGACGGACTGACGCCCAGTCAGCTGTGGTGTAAACAATGAGTGGTGCAAACGTGGCGCTTTTAGTGGACAAACAGTGAGAGAGTCGGCTAACAAGGAAATGAAGTCAAGATGGCCGACGCTGGACGGCCACTGAAATATCCGGCTCTTTTCCTTAGAGATGAGGGTAGAGGGGAGGCAGCGGTTCTTGAAGGTCAAATCTCGTCCAATCCCTGACCTCCCATGCCATCAGCGTGTAAGCTTCAGTCCCACAGCCAGCAGTTTCCTCTCGGAAGCAAAGAGATGGAAAATCCATCTGCACAAAGCACACCAGATGGAAGCTCAACACGAAACGTTGGGTTCACCCACTGCCACCCACAGAACAGCAGCCCAGATTTAGCCACCGCCCGCATCCTAACATTCATATACGCCATTATCCCACGCCCAGGTCACTGAACCCAGTCGGGGGCGGTAGGAGCCAGCGTACTCGTATCCCCAGCTCTAGAGCACTGTGGAAATGACAGCTCTTTAGTGCCTCCCACGGATGTTCGGCACAATTCGGTAATGCCTTCCACACACGTTTGGTGTGATAGTTCAGTGGCACCGCTTACAAAGTTATGACTCGGTGTGGCGAGTTGAGTAGAGCAGAGGTGGCCTGTATGATCGAACAGCGGCAGCTAGGCAAATGCAGCCAGTGAATGAGACAGTCTCTGTGAAATCAGTAAGATCAACAAATCGGTTTCAAAGTCACGTTTGCTTGTTAAAATCAAACAGTAGACAACTGCGCAGTACACATGATCCACAGGAAAACTCCAAAGTACCAGGAAATGCAGCTATCAATTTCGATAGAAATGTGTGCAGTTAGTCATTTGCTATGAAGATGCATGCCATGGTGGTCCAATGGCCAGAAGATGCTTGTGAAAAGATCAAAACTCGATCAGCCATGTCTAAGGGTGCGTGCGAAGTGTCCATCAAACGGCGATTGACTTTTCGTGGAGCGGCTGACGAAACATGGTTCGACGGCGCTCTCTGAAACTCCAAACGATCGGGCGTTTTCCAACAAAAATAAACAACGCCACTTAATAGCAGCATTGATGGATAAACAGACAATGTACCCAACGCAAAGAAAACAAACCGTTCTTCGAAAGCGTTCAAAGCGACCGAGTTGAGCAACAGAACTTCCCGTGTGCAGTACGCCTGCAAAATTTTAACGTACCAGGAAGGTTCCAGACAACCCCTACCAACCGAGTCCGAGCCAAAGTTCATGCTATGTAAAACAGCACTCAGAGGCTTTGCGGCGGAAGCCTGGAGAGCGCGTGATCCCTTCGTGATGCAGCTGCACCGCATACAACCTTTCACCCCGGGCTGGGCACGCCAAATTCAGGTGACACGCGCCGAATCACATCCGATGGACGCGACCGGCAAATACCAATCCAATAGTTCACGAACTGTCCGGGTCAGGAAACGACGCGCCGTCGAGAACCGATGACAGCGCCAGTGCTGACCGGCTCGCTGCGGGATGAAGAGTTCTAAGGACGCCCACCGAATCCCATGGCGTGGCTACCTGTCGGTGGTGGCTCTGGTTGCCGAACCGAGGTACCGAGGTACAGTCCACAGCAGAAGTAATGTGGGGTTTCAGTCATGGGTATGTTCTGCTTCTGAAGCTTAGGAACGATTAACCAGACTACAATGAAACTTTGAATGTAGCTTATATGTATCGTCACCCTTGCAGCTGCAACTTTAGCTATTGACATCTTCTTTTCGATCACTCCGCATTAAACAATCGCCAGTCAAAGCCAACCGTTGAGATTGGTAAAACCCTACATTACTTTAGCGGTGGGCTGTACCGAGGGCGGGGGTGGGGGTGGGGGTGCTCGGAGGTCGACTGACACGGTCCATATCAATAATGCACCCCCGGCGGTCAGGACCCGGTGCGGCCGCGCCCCTGGCAACACAGTGCCGGCGGAAACGCAGGCATACATGCTGAATGTTGTCGGTGGGCTATAGAACACCCGCCGACTATTTCCATTTTCACCTATTTTTATTTTTTCATTTAGCAAGCAGAGACTAAATGTCAGGATGTGGATCTGGAAAAAACATGTTTTATCGGCATTTGTCATTAATGACCAATGACGAAATGTCCGGTAGCCTGTGGTCACCCAAGAATGACGCTACGTGGCCAGACATGTAATTTCCGCGCTGACCATGCCTAAATATAGACAAACCCAGGCAGACAGGCAGACAGTAGCTACTACTACATCAAGCGCACCGACAGTCCATTAGTTAACCAAGAGGCTGAAAAATTTATACGTAAGACCACCGTTGTGACAGCAAAGATAGCAGCCATCATAAAAATATTAACGACAGTGCTAATAATGATCATGATTGCGGCATAGACCTGAAGATATTTAACATCTCACGCAAAAAAAAAATGAGAGGCTCCCTTGGCAATAAAGCAAAACGGCAAAAACAGCAAAACAGCAAACCTTAGCAATAACAATAAAACGTTTGGGAAAAGACGAACAGTCGCTACACTGGAAGCTCTCCACTCGAAAGTCGAGCTTCACAGAGGGTTTATTTTTGTTTGTTGGGGTTTCGGGCTCGAGGCAGCGGTACCAGCATGCGCCTATATTGAGGGTTTCCGCTCCGCGAACGGCGGCCGAATCACTAACATATTACGAGCAACTTTTACAACGTATGAGCTGGTAGCCAAACACATGGACATACCTTAGTAAATCAAGGGTGTTAATAATAAACCAGCAATCACATTTGTCGTCGGAATATGTTTATTGAACAATGAATTAAGCAACAGAGAATCAGTTATTAGCGGCTAGCAGAATGGTGCACTATAGAGTGTAAAGAATGCATAAACCCTAGAATGATACCAGACCGTCCCACACTGGCGTGGCCACACGGTGAAGGTCACGACCGATTCACGTCTTTTGCCGCCTGACCGTCATCATATCGCCGAGCGGACGTAGCAGTGGTGCCTTAGAACAGGCAGGGGTGCCTTAACCCGCGAGTTGCTGGGGGGGGGGGGGGTGTTAAACGCCCCCACTTTTTTTCGCCGGGCCATAGCATAAAAACGGCGCGCAAAATTTTGGGTACCTGTAGGGAATTGATTGAAGGTTATTGTGACAAAGTTTCAAAAAAAATCGGTCGGAAAATTTTTGAGATATCGAGGTTTTAGTGACGTCATGATTTCTGAGTTTTCGACCAAAAACGGCATATGTTCAAAAAATCATATAAAATCACAGAATAGACATACAGACATGCCGTAAACGCCATTAGACTGCCAATACCATGAACAATCAAATGGCTGTCTTCGATTGTTGATTACCGTTCTGCATTTTCCAAAATCTTGAACTGAATCTCGGCAATTTCTCGTGACTACTTCACGACCATGATACATGCATTTCTTAAATTGAACTTTTTTAGCCAAACACGTACACATATGGTAAAATGAATGTCACCATCGTGTTCTACGCCCCAAATTACCCATAAAACATGTGTCACAGGCTGCGAATATCAGTTTTGATTTTCGGGGATATGTGCCTGCCCGGTTGACCTGACCTTGACCCTGACCTATGCTTGACTGACCCCTACATGGAGCTGACACTCTTGTAGGCCTTATATGATGGATTGTGCACCGTTTTGACAGAGTTTATGACGAGAGGCGCCCATTGCGAAGTCCTGAATTCCATGCTACTGAAAGCCCGATTTCAGGTGTTTGACCTGACCTTGACCTGACCTGTGACCTCAAAATTCAACTTTAAAGTACTCATCTGAAGCGTCTCGTCGCGTCCTTTCGTTTGCCGCCTCGCGCGTTTCGCTGCGCCTATTGGTTCTCGAGTTATCGGCTGGGGGCGTTTAACGCCCCCCCCCCCCCCAGCAAACGGTGGGTGGCGAAATACCCCAGCAACTGCCGGGTTAAGGGTGCCATCCCCGGCTATAATGTATGAACCCTGCCGGTAGGACGGCCGTGGCTACTCTGACATCCTAAGGTATGGAGTATGGACATTGGATACTGGAGAGCCGCCGCGAATTGGAGAAACTCGCCGCCGGTCCGCTCTGGCGACACAAGCAGCCCCTGGCCTGAAGTACGGACAGTCGCCGGGACTCGGGGAGACACCGCCGCCGGTCCGCTCTGGCGACACAGGAAGCCTCTGGCCTGAGGTAGGTACGGAAGTCTCCGGGACCCGGAGATACTCCGCCACCAGGCTCGCCGGTGTGCAGAGACGAGATAGCCGCTGGGAACAGCAGATTCCGTACCGGGAACAGCAGCTGAATGGGCCCGGCGCGCTGGCCGGCATGTAATCAACGGGTGGAGTAGAGGCCATTCAAGCGGGATTAGAGCGTGCGCTCGGTCCGTGGGCAGCGTGCCCCCGGCTGATAACTCCTCCACCCCACTCTAGCCGACACAGCAGAGAAATGAGGGAACTCCCGGAACGCTGCACAGAACGGATGACACGTGGACGTCGGAAACTTCAACTACGGATATCAAATCAAATGCAGATTAATGCAAAGTGAGGTAGTTATTTGGACGGGATTTCCGAGAGCTCGGACGCAGCTGACCGGCCGTCCACTGCGATCAGTATTCCCTCCAGAGTTGACTTCAACTCAGTATTCTTTTCGTCTCTACAGGAAGCCCCAGATGACAAGCGTTCCTCCCAGCACGCTAACCCGAGAAGGAATGTTCCCGTTGGTCCGACATGAGTAAGATTTCTGGTCTCAGAGCCCAATGATATGTAGAAGGGAAGGTCGTTCTCCTCACCGGGATTACCTGACAGCAGTGATAACAGGGACTGTGACTTGGACGTGTCCGAAAAGGATTCTACTCTCTAGGTGAAAAAGGTCGCGAAGGATTCTGCTTTCATTTTGAAAGTGCTACGGTACCGCTTTTTATAACTATACATTAATCAGATGCAACTAAATACATATCTGTTTTATCTATTGCAATTGCAGGAGAAATAACTAGTTGATACAATAACTAAAGTATTATAAACATCCTAGGGGTGCACTACCACTCAAATGTCGATTACACCGCCATTAAAATCGTTCGTTTGTGTAAGTTCCTAAGGATTGTACTCCATCTTTTTAACATATTCACCATACATTTAGCAACGTTTTCCTATCGACTAGCGAACCTAGTCCAAAAACAAATAAAAAGAGGTAACTCTCAGCCATCACTTTATCAAATTCTAAAACGGTATCGGAGCCCCCAGCGACCCTCAGCTACCCCCGGAGCCCTTGCCCCGGAGGCCGCTGCCGTTCAGTTCAATCGACACCCGTGCTTTCCAGGCAGCCAACGTGACTTTTGGCACGTGCATTTATGGTCACGAGGATTTCCGTACGTGGATGCAAAGGGTGTTAGGGTAATGCCGGCCGCCCATCTGCATCTGTTAGCATTTCGGATGAAGAGAAAGAAAAAAAGATGAGCCTCCGTGAAACGAGAGAGCAAACGGTAATTTTGTTACGCTGAAAGACAGGCTAAGCCGAGTAACTACGCACCTAGACTGGCATTGTTGATAATTCGCCATCCGGCAATGTGTTATATAATATTGCAACACAGATATAAAGTACGGAAAGACATATCATGATATCACTCCTCTCGTCTCTCCCTCTCTCCTTTCTCCTCTCCTCTCTCCGTTTCATATTCACATTCTAATGCTCAAGAAGCCCCTTACGTAACGCAAGAGACCATCATTCAAGTCTGGGTATAAGCGAGCTCAGCGCTCCAGCTGCGGACGGGGCCCCGACCGCGCGCGACTTACCTCGTCCATGTCCTGACCGAACGACACCGGGTTGGAGATGGCGTCCGAGATCTCGCGCGCCACGTCCTGCTGCTCGGCGATGTCGTCCATCATGTCGTGCACCTGGTCCACGTCCCTGTTGACCAGAGAAAGAGGGGGAGGTTAGGTGGGGTAAATGAGGAAGAGGACGTCACTGACACACAGGGAGAGGGGAGATAAGGTGTGAGAGGCAGCGGACGCAGTGTCAGAGACAGAGGAAGAGGCAGAGAGAGAGAGAGAGAGAGAGAGAGAGAGAGAGAGAGAGAGAGAGAGAGAGAGAGAGAGAGAGAGAGAGAGAGAGAGAGAGAGAGAGAGAAAGAGAGAGAGAGAAAGAGAGAAAGAGAGAAAGAGAGAAAGAGAGAAATAGAGAAATAGAGAAAGAGAGAAAGAGAGAAAGAGAGAAAGAGAGAAAGAGAGAAAGAGAGAAAGAGAGAAAGAGAGAAAGAGAGAAAGAGAGAAAGAGAGAAAGAGAGAAAGAGAGAAAGAGAGAAAGAGAGAAAGAGAGAAAGAGAGAAAGAGAGAAAGAGAGAAAGAGAGAAAGAGAGAAAGAGAGAAAGAGAGAAAGAGAGAAAGAGAGAAAGAGAGAAAGAGAGAAAGAGAGAAAGAGAGAAAGAGAGAAAGAGAGAAAGAGAGAAAGAGAGAAAGAGAGAAAGAGAGAAGAGAGAGAGAGAGAGAGAGAGAGAGAGAGAGAGAGAGAGAGAGAGAGAGAGAGAGAGAGGGTAGGGTGAAATTAGGTGGGGGTACAGGAGGCGCAGAGAAGGGAAGACGGACACAGTGTCACACAACGGACTACGGGACGGTATAAGACAAGGTGTGACTGGTGTGACGCAAAGAATGATATAAAGTTAGATACGATTGTGCGTAATGCAGACACTTCTCCGTCACTCAGATAGCACAGAGCACCTGGAAACGTGGGCCGCTGAGTGCCAGGAATGGCAAATGTCAGCGCAGTCGACGCCACCCTACCGACAGTCGCCACCGTTACATGAGCCGTAATGAGGTGTTCTGTCGTAGGGAAATATAAATAGCCCGGCTGGAAATAATGGCCAGGTGGAGGAAACGTGGCGGACGAACCTAAAGGTGGTCTCACATCGTAAATAGAAAGCATGAAACGCGTGGGCAATTATTCTGCTAGCTATATGACGCTACTTGTGACTGCCGGACGTCAGGTACTTTACTGAATACCTATATGTATCAGCTAATCTTAGAGTACACTGAAGTTACTGAATATGATGTGCCCGAATCAGGTCATCTGCATGTTGTCAGACGTGTTTCCATTTGCGAATTCGCCACTTTCGTCTCCAAAACTCCATCTCTGATTGGAAAGGTGCAGTACTTTTCCAAGCTCCGTACCAAAATAGTGACCTGAATTAGTTCGCACCGATCGCACGCGTATGGGCGAAACGTTTAAAAATAATTTCCAGTTGTGAAACTGCTAACATTCTTAACCATGCATCAGCCAATAAACATTTCAAGGAATGGCGGATATTGCCGAAGCAGCTTTTGCACTTTGGAGCCTTGCATTTCGGCAATTTTCGCGAAAGGTCACGACAGCATTCCTCGGGCTAAACATGGAGGTCCTTCACAGACCGTGATCGTTAACATTCATCGGTACCACGGGCCCGTGGAGGCAGTGACTGTCCCGGAATGGCGTGGAGATCACCTGGCACTATGTGCTTCCCTCGGCGGCCGGAACCATCAGACTCCCTAGCGAGCGGTGAACGAACTCGGATCCTCCGTCCCGACCATCCACCATCCGGGGTAGAGTAACTCAGATCGCCGCTCCTCACCGCATAAATATGCGTCCCCTGAGTCAAGCACGGCGCAATCTGCGTGAGACATCAGTCCAAACTCGGCCGAAAAGGTCTGCGACGCACCCTGGTGACGGAAATAGACCACCAGAAAAGGTCATCGAACGGTTCACGTGACAGAGAGTTCCCGGCGGCGCCCGAGGCGGTCTGGTTCGGAATGGGAGGGGGAGAGGGGGAGCTGGAGTAGTCCACGACGCAGGTGACCGTCGGAAACGACCAATCACGGAGCGCCTCCAAAATAGAGACGGCACCTCAACTCAGAGCTCTAAAAATAGGAAGTTAACCGGTTAAGTGTAAAAGTATGAACTAGGACGAAGTGCGACGTTGAAAGTTTCGATTTTGAAACTACTCACGCATTTAAGATGGAGATAGAGTGAGTGCATTTCACACTTGCTATCGAAACGTTAAGAAATGAAAACTTTTAGTAGAAGACAGGTGCAAGGTTTTAAGTGCTGGCAAAAATAGCATATCAAGTAAATAAAATGTTCAAAAATCACGGTTTGTTGAGATTCACAACACCTACCTAGTTCCCAGCTGCACTTACTCAAAGCCGAGCCCCATAAAAAGGCTTCACGAGCGTTGCGGGGCGCACTACAATGATGAACAGCATCCGCTAACGTGGGCCATAAAACAATGAACTAACGGGATGAGTGGTGCAGTAAAGCACCAGCGACTCACGAATAACATCACAAGAACCCGTCCGCTCGGACATAATTCAACTGCAGCTGTGGACTGCAGTATTCAGGCGGCAAACGAACTTCACTCGTCACCGCGGCTGCCTTTTACACATTGATGGTCAGACGACGCTAACACGCTATACCTCGCATAAAACGCTGGTGTGGAATCAATGCGGATGTCAGGCTGACCGATGCCCCAAAATGGGAATACTGGAACTCTCCCCCAGGGAGGCTATGTCATATGTGTGTGTGAGTGGACCGTCTGGTCCAACAATAATTCATGCGCGATAACCACATTCAGTCCTTGATCAGGCGGTTTTGTGACGGGCATGATTACCTGCTACACGAAAAAAATCCCCGTCAGACACTTGCGCTGGCTTGCACTCCTTTACGACGGTAGTGGCCAGTTGGATTTCGGAATCCAATATACCGCGCGGCCTTCCAATTATTCATCCTAACATTCGATCAAATTGCGAAAAGATCGCCCATATCATGCCTCCAGAGTTCTTCCTGCCCTCCCTTGCCGTGCTTTAATCATAATTACGTCAGTCTTGAAAAGACTCATGAAGACATTCCAGCACGCAAGACGGGCCGTACAGCCAGCAACAAAAGCCATACCAGTACCACATATATACACACCGGTCAAACAAATAACAATTAACCGAGGGGAGCAGTATCCACTTGTCGAATATGCAACTCTTGTCCCTTGAAGGAAGGGTGCCACCTTCCGAAATTTTTGTTCTATGAATCTATTTTACTTATTTGAATTTTTAGACGTGGTTAGCGCGTCCACAATATACAAAAAAACCGAAACATTGCATTTAATACATTGGCCAAAAAAAAGATCGTTGTTTATATCACCACTACAACTCAAGGTCGTTTGATGTGGCAGCTAGGACGGCTGGCATATCCTGTTGTCATGGCAACATATCATTCTGCCATTTGCATTGATGGCGCAACTGAGACAAAAAGATGAACAAATAAAAAGGAAGAAGATAACATGATTTGAACTAAGTTGTAGGTAACCAAGTAGGTAACTGTTGGCCATATTTGAACATCAAATAAAAAAGAACAAATAAGTCGAGTAAAGGTTTTTCCTTTACAATGCTTAAGAGATCTATGGAACCCTTCACCCTTCATGCAACTTACTAGAAAAACTTCCCAATTAAAATTTTAAAACTTAAGTGTATACCATAAAGAAAAAATATACCCTTTCAAAATGATAAAACATGCTTCAAAAGTATAACTTTTATATATACCTTTGCTGATTTCATGTTTTATAAAATACCCTTAACACGACGAGGAAATAGTGCTGAAGATTTTTGCCTGCCCGAATGCTGGCAGCAAAACTCGCAAATGATAACTTCACGTGCGGATTCAATGCTGACCGTCTCGAGCATAGGTAAGTGAAGCCGGTTTTTAGGTTCATGTGAGGCTAATCTTGTAAAAACTGCGTTGTGTCCAAAAGGTGGCACCCTTCCTTTGAAGGATCGAGCGAGAGAAAGTGCCCATCATGTGGACGATGATGATGATTTGTGGGTTAGGCACCGGGACTGCAGTGGTGTCCATTGCAACGAAAGATGTATACTCCCGGATCAGGATGTGATAAATGAGATACCCTCAGGCAAACTGATACTAGTGATGTCCACCCACGTGACGCAAGAAACACACCAACCAATGTATACCATATACATACTGAACAATTAGTGTCGTGTCTTCCGTTACATCCTGTACAGATGAACCACTTTTCTAATAAGTAGTAATCACATCCGCATCCGTGATAGTAATAATCGCGTCTGCAGATAAAAATACACACAAAAGGGGGTAAGTGGTAACAAAATCTCCAGGATTTCCTCAGTACTGAGCAATTACAATACACTCCGTACACTGCAGAGCTCACACACTGATACCAGCGACCCTCAGGGTTCTATATTGGGAGTCAAGATGACTCCTCACAGACGTTAAAGTTGCCGAGTAGGTACGCTCTACACACCATCCCATACAAGTTATCCTGCGCACCGGGTATTCAGAAACGCTTGAATGAAGCAGCATAACATGAACTATTCGCAGTACCGCCATCCGTACACCTTGGCCACCTTGGCCATTCAACCAGACTCTGGTGAGCCACCTGGCCGCAGAGCCCACATTATTATTGCAGTGGCTCAGACTCCCCGGCCGGACTCAGCGATCGCGGGCCGGTGTGCTCCCGGCTCGATCGGACCGCTGCCGATCCGCAGTTAAGCCGGCTAACTGCGGCCGTTTAGCCAACTGGTCGGGACTGTTAAGCCCCGGTAACTGGGGCCGCGAAACCCGGTAACTGACGCCGGTAAACTCGTTACCTGGGACCACCGAACTCGGTAACTGGTGCCGGTAAACCCGTTAACGGGGACCACCAAACCTATGGGCTGACGCCGTAAGTCTATTAACGGGACCGCCAAACCCATGAGCTGGTGCCAGTAAACCCGTTAACTGGGACCTCCAAACCCGTTAAATGGTGCCGCTAAGCCTGCCTCTAATTGCGACCTGAGACTAAGCCGTAGCTGACGCGCAATCCAGCTATAGTCAGTCTGGTCTACATAAATGGACCGCCGAAGGCACCTCATGTGCTT